TGAACCGAGCAGAAGAATCACTTCCTTTGATTTGCAAGTGACACTCCTGTTAATACATCCCAATGTGCTGTTGGCTTCTTTGTTGCAAAAAAATAAATAAATAAATAAAAAAAAAAAGATTACATTGTTGACTTGTATTCAGTTTATAGTCTTCTGTATTCCTGAGGTCCTTCCCTGCAGTGCTGCAGTCTAGCCAGTCATTCCCCAGCCTGTATCAGTGTATGAAATTATTCTGTCCCAAGTGCAGGACTTTGCACTTATCCTTATCTAAGTGATTGTGGACCATTTTTCCAGCCTGTCCAGATAACTGGGTACCTCATGGAATGATACAGCTCCTTCAAAATATGCACTCTATAGTATCATACTAGGGTACAGATTTAATATTGGCTCAAAGGGAAGTAATATGATCTCATAGGGTTGTCATCACCAAATGTCCACTTGGGTTTTCACACTGCGGCTTCAAGTACTGTCAGCATGTAATACTGAGCCCAGAGTGGTATGGCTACAGACTTGTTTGTGATGTATCATGTTTTGCAGGGAGAAAACAACTGAAAGACTTAACTCATTGGTACCAGCTACTCATGTTGGAAAGAGAGGCAACTCCAATTACAGTGTTCCAAACGACTGGGTGAAAATAATACGTAAGTCAAGGCCTCACCTGTATCTTTAGCTTTGGACTCATGGTTCTTGGTTTTAATTTGTGTTAATCATATCATTTTAATAATATGTTAATCATGCAGTAGTAGATGCTCGTGATACCAGTGATTTTTAATTTTAAAAGTTGAGAAATCTTAATTGTATATCAAAATGGGTTAGGAGTTAAATATTTATTTTTATTAGCATTTTATATGCAAGATGCAACTGCACATATTTTGTTTCCCTATTGGATAACAAAAATTGTCTTCATGTGGTACTGTACCTCTCTCCTATGAGCAAACAAAAAGAAAGTATTTTATTGTATTTCTGTGCAGTATGTATCAATACCTTCCTGCTTTGTGCTAGTGTTTAAAATGCATCTTTTTAGTTTGTTTCCCAAAATGAGTGATTCTCTTTTATTTAATAGGTTTGGATCCCTTTAACCCTAAAACCAATGCAAGTGTTGGAAATCTGGAAGGGGTATGCCAGGATATTCCAGCTAATCTGAATATTCGCATAATCACTGCTGACGTTGGAGCAATAGAAGGGATTCCACAGCAAGAGATACTTGGCGTACAGATCAGGTAAAAGAAAATAATGTTTTTTTGACTACATTCAAATAATATAACTTTCAGTTATGGTGACAGCTGTTTAGTACGGGAGGCCCAAAATGTAATGGCCACTTTATCTTTTTATCAGGAGTAGATTTAAAAAGAAAAAAAATGATCTCTATTTGGAACACGGATCCCACTGACAGTCACTTTCACCTTCTGGTTATATACTCGCTGTGCCTAGCTCTCGTTTTGCAAATGAAACTGAAAATAAATAGCTGTATTAAAACAGAAAAAACGTGCAAAATCTTTAGTTGTTCTAGCAGTTGCGATAACAAAATCAATTGCTGTAAAGGATTCTAACTTAACAGAGTTATCTTATTAGCGGCCATGCTTGTTTCTGCTTGTGACTGACTTGCGAATAAACAGGGATCCTGGTTTTCTCTGTTTAAAAATCTAAAATTCTCTGATAAATCCAAAATGATCTAATTAAAAAAACCCAAATCCGCGTTTTTCCATGATTAAAATGAAACGTCACTATGTATACAGATTTCAGTTTGAACACAATATTTTATTGATATATTTACAGTTTTAAAGCAGTTTGGAAACCTACCAGTGCCTCAATCGTTATAGTAAAATAAATTCTAAATATCTATGTATTTTGGCATTTGATTTTGTTTTTAATCATAGAAAATTGGAGCTCTCCATGCCCTCTCTGCTCACCAGGACATGGGTTCAGCTGCAGCTACCCCTCCCCTCTGCTTCCTCCCACTCCCCCCCCACTGCTTTGTGATGCTGAGCATCTCTGATATGCTGGTGCCCCTTGCTTCCAAGTCACAGCCCCCCCAACCTCCCCATCCCCACTGAGCCCCTCACTCGTGACCTGCAGCCCCCCCCACCCTTCGCAGCCCTGCCGGTGCCTCTTTCTTGACCCAGGGCCCCTACACACCCAGGCCCCAGCCCCCCAGTGTGTGGGGCAGGGTGGAGCGCTGACAGTGTGGAAGGATAAGGAGAATAATAACATTGTCTAGCTCTGATTCAGATAGAAAGTAATACAATTATAAAAATACAGTGGAAAATATTGGCAGCAAAGATGCACCAAAAGCATTTAAGAACCTTTATAAAATGTGTATGTAGATATTACTCGTTTTTTTTTCCAGTTTCTCAACTGTGACATGGCAATTCCAGTGTGGGATTATCTGTGAAAATAAGCCCAGTTACTTTCCTATCACTGTGTCAGTGCAGTTTATTAAAGTACCAGCTCAACCACCAATTCCAAAGACAAGGTAACTTTTTACATAAATCTAATACCTAGTATTATATCAGGCAGAAGTGTCCAAATAAAATAATGTTAACAAGACATGGCAAATGTGATTTGTTCTGAAACAGACAAATGTGTTGGAGACCTATTTAAATTGTACTGCACTGCAGTGGTTCTGTCAGTCAAGTCTATTCCTATAGGGTGCAAAGTACATTATGTTCCATGAAGCTAGTGAGAATTTGCCAAGAGTTAAGGGTGCACAGCATCTTGCAGGCTAGAGCCCAAAGGGGGTCATCCTGCAGCTCTTATTCATATGGCGGTTTCTTCCATTGACTTCAGTAGGATTACTGGTGCAAGGTTAGTTGAGTGGATAAGGGCGAGCAGATTGGTTCTAAGGGTGTTTATACGCATGTTCTGGGAGGCGGGGGGAGGGGATGCTTTAATTAAAGCAGTTCCGAGAACCACTCTAATTAAAGTGCCTGAAGTGCCACGTGCATCAGTGTCCTCACGCTGAAAAATGGCGGCGGGGCGCTTTAACTAAAACTTGAATGAGCTTTAATTAAAGTATCCTGCCACCATTTTTAAGCATAGGAACACTGATACGCTAAGTGTAATTACCAAGCTCTAGCAGATTTGATTAATCAAGTCTGCTCCAATATGCGGTAACTACAGAGCAGCCTTGATGCACGTGTGTAAGTGCCCTAAGCCTGTCTCTTGTCTTGTCAGCATGTGCAAGCAATTGCATTATTATTATTGACATGTACTACAAAAACACAGAATTCAGATACGGGAAAGACCTGTTAAGTCACCTTGACATGGCCAAGATGGTTCCCCTGGCTATTTTTATGCATTGGTACTAGCGCTCTGGTTGTAACGTTGTTTTAATTCATCTTTTATATAAAATTGTTTTTCAGGTTTCAGATTAATTATACAGAATATGACTGCGATCGAAATGAAGTTTGCTGGCCACAGCTTCTGTATCCATTGACACGGTACTATACAGGTAGAACAGGCTTTGCGAATACTTTGGGACTAATTTGACTGTTTGCATGAACAGAGCGTGTGAAGCATGAGCCTATCCAGCTCTTACAAAACAAACTACTAGAATGGGAAGTCAGGATTTCCCAACTCAAGAACCAACACTGTAAAGATAATAAAGGAATTTTTCCTTTTCCTACACATCACCAGTAACACAAATAGGCTAAATTCTGTCATCAGACCTAGATAGGCCAGCTGACTAATTTAGCGTGCAAAAAGTGTGTGGACTGCTACAAGCAATTTTCCCAGTGAAACCAAACTATGGGGACTAATGGTTGGACACAATAAATTGCACTTCGTATGTTCAGGGAGATTATGCAGATTAAACGGCTCAGGGTTGGCCAACCTGTGTCATGATTATCATAAGTGGCACGGGCACCCGGCGTGTGTGGTTCGAACCAGATTGCGGGGAGTACTGGCAGCACAGTGGCAGGCAGGGCAGGGAACAGAAAACAGCAGCAGTTCAGGTAGGGAGCAGAAAGCAGAATAGGTTGGGCAGGGGAATGGGATTGGAGTGGCATTTGGGAAGGATTTAGGGCTAATTTGGGACATTCCTGTCAACAAAAGTTGCCCCCCAACTTTTCTACTTGTTCTACTTATGCACTGATAACTGCAGAGACAAAGGCCATGATCTACTTTGTGCAGAATCAGGCTTAACACTGGAAGTGACAAAAAAACTTAACATTTGCAGTCTCATTTTGTGTTATTGTATGGGCTGCCACATGCTTTTTTTAAAGAAAAATTCCCTACTGATCTTCAATGTAAAAATTAAAAGGAAAATTGATGTTTAGGCTCTTCTCATTTTCACTAGCATTTTTTTTTTCCTTTCAGGAGAACCATACTCTCAGTCTCTTGCTAAAGGCTTGGTACTGGTGTTCTTCTTGCTCCTTGCAGTAATTCTGAGTAATCCTTGGAGTAAGCTCCTGATAATGTGGGATCACACTTCACTTTAAAATTGGGCTGCAAAGAGAAACATTTTGTAAATGCAGGTTTTTAATGCTGGTATTAAACTAGTGTTTGTACAGGTACTTCTTTGTAAAATTTGTGAAAAAGTATTTCTGGACTGTACATATGTTTTTTTATAGTTATATATGACATGTAAATTAAAAATGCCACTTGTACAGAAGAAGGTTTTTATTTATTTATTTAAATAGCTAGTCTGCCATTTAAGTGCAGGATTCTGCCGCTGTGGCTCCAGAACGCAGTTCGGCACTGCTGGCTTGGGGGATCTGCAGAGGTGCAAGATGCACTTGGCTGGACCTAGCTCCAGCTAACAAAACCTTGGAGAATTTACCAATCAGCAACTAATTAAACTGAATTATGATTGGGATCTAGTGCAGAACCGGTATTCTCGAAGCAACTCACAGCTGAGGTTTTCTTCGGATGTGGGGATAAATGCTTGAACACTTGCTTTGGAAACTAAACTATTAACTAGTTGATAAAATTTAACTAGTGAAACTTATTAACTCAGATGCTATTTGCACTCACCTGTGTATAAGTGACTGGTTAAAACTGGGCTCCTTCCTTAGCATTTTGGTGGTTCTGGGGAACACACTAACTGTCCTTTTGTTCATTATACTGTGGGGCATAGACTAGACACAAAAAAAAGCAGCCCCTGTTCCCTCCCCCTTGCATGCCTATGCCACATGGCTTTCCCCTTCCACATCGATCCTTGCAGGGAAGCCTCTCCCTTTTGCTTCTGGATTTTAACCACTGAAAAGCGACACCCACCCACCCTGCGGGGCGGCTTCCCCCCGGTTCTGCAGGAAGCTCCGGCCCCGCCCCGCTGCGCCCGGGCCGCCCACGTGTCCCGGCACCTTGGCCCGGGGGCGGGGCTAAGGCGCGGCTCAGCA